CAAAGGAGTAGACGTCAGCTACTACTACCAGGGGCAAAAAAGAGATCAGAAATGCCATTTAATTACCTATATTTTTATCTACACATTGACATGCATAGATAAACATGGTGGGGAACATGGTGACAAAATTTTGGATTTTTTTTTTTTTTTTTTACTTTACTTCTTGTTCTTTTTGAGGGGGAGGGATTTTATTTCTTAAATCCTGCAGTACATAATTATAAAATTTACCGCAGTCATAATTTCTTAGAATGACATCATTGAGATATAATTCAAATACAAATATTTCACTATTTTGAACTGTAGAATTCAGTGGCCACCAGTATCTAATTTCAGAGTATTTTCATCACTCCAAAGGGAAAAGCTGTCCTCATTAGCAGTCACTGCCCTTTTACCCACTTCTACCAGCCACTGGCAAAACACTTGTCAAATTTCTTTTTGTATAGATTAGTCAGTCCCGAACATTGCATATAAATGGAGTCTTACATTTTATGGTCTTTTTTGACTGGCTTTTTCTACCTAGCACCATGTTTTCAGGGATCATCCACACTGCAGCATGTATCAATACTTCATTACTTTTTATTTTTATTGCCTAATATTCTATTGTGTAGATACACTGTGCGTTGTTTCCTTGTTTATTAGTTGATGGACGTTTGAGTGGCTTGTATATTTTTTTTTACTATAATGAAAAATGTTGCTATGAACCATCGTGTGTGGGGATTTTCCATTTTCTTGAGTGTATACCTGGGGGTAGAATTACTAATTCATATGTTTATTCTGGGTTTAAGGTTTTGAAGAACTGCACCACTGTTTTCAAATTTGCTACAGTAGTTTACAATCTGACCGGCAATGTATAGGGTTCCAATCTCTCCACATCCTTATCAACACCTACTACTATCTGTCTCTTTGATTCTAGCTGTTTCACTGGGTGTAAAGCAGTTGGCTCATGATTTTAATTTGCCTTTCCATAATAACTAATAATGTCGGCTATCTTTTCGTGTGTGTATTTGCCACTTGTGTATCTTTTTTTGAGAAATGGGTATTCAAGCACTCTGTTCATTTTTTTATTGAATTATCTTTTTATTGTTGAGTCATGAGAGTTCTTTATATATTTTAAATACCAATATAAGATCTTAATCAGATATTATAGGCCTCCCTGCTGGCTCAGAGGGTAAAGAATCGGCCTGCAGTGTGAGAGACCTGGGTTCGATCCCTGGGTTTGCAAGATCCCCTGGAGAATGGAAAGGCAACCCACTCCAGTATTCTGGCCCGGGGAATTCCATGGACAGAGGAGCCTGGCGGGCTACAGTGCACGGTGTCGCAGAGTTGGACACAACTGAGCAACTGAACACGCGCACGATCAGATACAGGAATGGAAAACATTTTTTCATGTTATATGGTTTGTCTTTTCATTTTGTTAACAATGTCCTTTGAAGCACAGAAGGTTTTAATAATGTCTTTTTTCTTTTGTCACATGTGCTTTTGGTGTGTATCTGAGACATGACCAATCACCTAATCTGTCATCAGAAATTTCTCCTATACGTGTTTCTAAGCATTTCATACTTTTAACTCTTACATTTAGGTCTTTGATTCATTTTTGACTTACTATCGGTATATGGTAGGAGGTAAAGGTCCACATTTATTCTTTTGCATATGGATATCCAGGGGTCCTGGCACTATCTATTGAAAAGAATACCTTGTCCCCATCGGGCTGTCTTGGTAGCATTGTTAAAATCAATTGACTGTAAATGTGAGAGTTTATTTCTGGACTCTCAGTTATCTGCATGTCTAAATTATTAGCCTTACCACACTATTTTTTATTGTTTCATAGTAAGTTTTGAAATTGGGAACTGTGAGTACTCCAAGTTTGAAGCTCTTTTTCAAGATTTCTTAGCTATTTTGGGTCCTTTGCATTTCCATGAATTTTAGGATCAGCTTTCCTGTTTCTTTAAAATGGTAGCTGGGAGTACATATGTATTTCTAAAACAATGAAGTTATTAATCTTAATAGCTTCTTAATAGTTTCTTCCTATGAAACTACTATGCCTCTTTCTTAAATTGTGTATGATGCTGCTGCTAAGTCGCTTCAGGGTCGTGTCTGACTCTGTGTGATCCCATAGACTGCAGTCCACCAGGCTCCTCTGTCCCTGGGATTCTCCAGGCAAGAATACTGGAGAGGGCTGCCATTCCCTTCTCCAATGCACGCACACATGCTAAGTTGCTTCAGTTGTGTCCGACTCCGTGCGACGCTATGGACAGGAGCCCACCAGATTCCTCTGACCATGGGATTCTCTAGGAAAGAATACTGGAGTGGGTTACCATTTCCTTCTCCTAAATTTTGTACAAATTTATACTAAATAAAATTACTAGAATGGCTTAGAAAAGTTACAAAAAGATTGCATTTAGTGTAAGTGGCTAGGCAAATGCTTTCTGAAGCAGAGTACAAAATATAATGAGCATTTTAATACACACAGGAGGACATGATTGAAATAGATGAGCACAGGAACAGTGCTCCATAGACAGTGCTAGCACACAATACAGAAACAGACTCTCAGACATAGAGAGCCGACTTGTGGTTGCCAAGGGGGTGGAGGAGTGGGGGAGGGGCGGGGGGAAGGGTGGATTAGGGGTGGCAAACTATTATATACAGAATGGATAAACAACAAGGTCCTACTGTACAGCACAGGGAATTATAGTCAATACCCTGTGATAAACTATAATGGAAAAGAATGTGAAAAAGAATGTATACATATGGATAACTGAGGCACTTTGCTGTATACCCGAAAATAACATGACATTGCAAATCGACTATTTAAACTATTTAAATTTAAATTTAAAGAAAAAGCTGGAAACGTTGGATTAAATGCAGTTGCACAGGTCACAGCTATCAGATTTCACAGCGTGTTGATAAGGCTAATAAGAGTGGTCAAATGGCCAGATGGAGACGTGGTAGACTTTCCAGGACAGCAGCCAAGTGTATCTAGTCAGCCTCCAGGCAGCTGGGACACAATTATGATAATAAGTCAATAATACAGAGGAGGTATTTTCACGTTGTCTTTCACGTGGGTGGGCGCAGGGTAGGACTGTCAGGCGGGAAAGTGCTTGAAAGGCTATTGCCTGAAAGAGCCTGGGACCTAGATGGCTCCCAGGTAAGTTCAAAGGCAGGGCTCAAGTGCTGAAGACACCAGCCTGCCTTGAGATCTACTTCTAAAACACAGGCTCACATCTTGATGTGTGCCCCGTTAGGTATGTGGATCCACGTGCTAGAGGGGTCTGGGCTCACCCCTTTTAGTATCAGCCTCTGAAAATGCAAAGACAGGAGTAGGAAGTTACACGCCCCCATTTCATACCACCATATAATCTGTCATCAAGCATTTCATTAATCACACACAACTCCAAGTCATTTGCAACTTAATTTACCACTAATCAGTATCAAGATAACAGAGAAAAAGAAAACCACTGCTCAAAAGCACAGGAGCCCAGAGGCAGGAAAGCCTCCCCAGAAATGCTCACTTTTCTGCCTGTCTTTTGAACGGACAGCACCTTTTGCAAAATAAAAATCATGGTGACACAAATCTTGCAAACACACACTCAGTTTCTCCCCAAAATAGCTGCATTCTTTTATTTGGTGATTCAATACATTTTTAATTCCAATAGTCACCACATAACCTAGGCATAAGATTCAGCATTGTACAAGCAAAGGATTTGACTGATTTTCTTTTCAATTGCCAAAGAGTACAATAAGTGAATTGATTAAAGAATATACTTCTGTACATAAAAATATTCATGTATTTATACAAGTGTATGGAACAGAGTTTAAAGATAATCTAACCAGAACATCACAATAAATAGGATGTGTTCCTATAGGACAGCCAAACATGCTTTGCCAGGCGGTTGTCAAGTCTCTGATTCTCAAGGTGCTTTATGATCTTCTGAGCTGGGCTCACATTTTCCTAAATAAGGGTTAGAGGTTAGTAACACCTGGACCTGGATACCTCTGGGGGTATTCTGCTTTTTACTTTCATCTCAATAAGAGGAGTTGAAGACATAATTATTTACTTTCCAATAGTCTTTGCAACTTACCAAATTCTATCCATTTCCCAATTAATATTTGAAAAAGTAGATTGATCTAAGCTCTAGCACCATACAAGAAGGAAATACATGTATTTTTGTCAGAGCAACAATATTTTATATCATCTTTGTCCCTCTGGCTATAACAATTCTGTTTAGAAAATTTTACCAAGCTAAAAATAGTTGATCTAGGTTGTCATAAAAAAGAATATTAAATACCTTTGGTAAAAATAGATATATTTAACAAGATTAGAAAAGCAAACAGTTATAATGTCAAAAGGAGACTATAAAAAATGTACACAATAAAACAAATAAACCAACTTATAAAGTGAAGATAAGGCCACTCTTCTCAGGTTTGTCTGTTCCAAACCATGCATGGGGGTCTCTTCTTCTAAATGGTAGAAATCTGATTAAGAAATATGGAAAATCCAGTCTCTCCTATCAGCACGACAAGTTTAATTCATGGCAACACAGTTCCTTTTTAAAACCCATGTTGGTAGAACTTAGAACACTCTTATACATGTGACTAGAAGAAACAATCCGAGATTTCTGTGATTTGAGCCCCAGAGCACGGGGCTTAGAGTTAAGCAAGGCAACAGAACCGGGGGCTCACAGGCAGTGTTTCCTGTGCTGACATGAACCTAGGCCACATCCAGACAAGAGACACAGTGCAGCCGAGGGTGCTCACAGGGACTTTGCAACTAACTAGAAATCTACAAGGTTCATTCCTTTCCCGACGAGGACGTTCCTCTTGTCGTGGGGCCTCATCTCCAAAGGGCCGTTGCACAACCCCTAATTCTGCCTGGTGTCTCCTCTCTCAGAACACGCTGTAAATCCTGAAGATGAAAGGGCCCTGGAGCCAACAGCCGGGACTGTGGATGGAGATAAGGCACAAGTTCTGTCGCAGAGGCAGCCCTGAGCCACCGCGAGGCATTATCCCCCAGGGTTCCCCCTGCACACGCAGTCACACTCCTCATGGTGCTCGAGGGCCACATCCGTGAGTGACTTATGCAGCCCCCGGACGCCTGTCTTGGGTCTCAACTGAAGGACCTGAAAGGGAACAATGGAAACCACCTTTAAAATCAGGCCACGTCTGCAACTTGTGATTTCATGGACAGGAATGATTTCAGAACAGAATCTTGGGGCCCAACAATGACTTAACACATTCTACTCCTGAAGGCATTATGGACATATTCCCCTACCCTTCAAAGAAATCACAAATGATTATCATCTTTTCATGAAAGGAAAGACCTTTTAATACCAACAATTAGGAAGGAGGCTGCTCAGAATAAATAGACTTGTGGTTGCCAAGGGAGAGAGGGACAGGTGAGGGAATGGATTGGGATTTTGGGATTAGCAGATGCAAACTAGAATACATAGAGTAGATAAACAACAAAGTCCTACTGTATTGCATAGGGAACTATATCTTGTTATAAAACATAATGGAAAAGAATATGAAAAATAATATATATGTATATGTATAACTGAATCACTTTGCCATACAGCAGAAATTAACACAACATTGGAAATCAACTACACTTCAATAAAATAAATTTTTAAAAAAGAATAGTTTTTAAATTGAAAGATTCACTATACCCTTTTTCCCCTATGCATTTAACCATAATCAGAGGGAATTTCACCTTCTTTAGGTGTTTTGGAAACCACTACTGAACAATTTGTTCTTCCGTTTTTTGTTTTCTTTCATTCATTTATTCACATGCTTAGCAAATATTTATTCTTGGAGCACGGCAGGCAAGTACTGTGATGCTGTGAAAAGAAACCCGACCCGTCTGCAGCTGAGTCTGCTCAATTATGCTGCTCATTAACGTGCTTGGCTACACGTCAAGTCCTCTGTAAACTTGATGAGATGGATTAGATGTACTTCGTCGACAACAGCTCCGTCACAGTTAACTTTCTGCAGCTGGGTCCTACTGTGTCGTGTACAGTTGGCAAGAATAACAAGAATGCCTCTATTAAATGAAGTTATTTGTAGTTTGGATGGTTGAGATTTTTAACCAGAAATACAGCAAAACAGACACTGATACTAAACACACCCTTTTCAAACTGTGATGAAAGGATACAGCTATGTATTCTATACATGATTCTCTGAAATATTTGATAAGAACTAACTACTCAACGTACATTACATTTTAGGTCTTACAACAGAAATGATAACAAAGTTTTAGAAATTATGTGGCTTTGGCTTATGAACAGAGCACAGAATAATGTGAAGTTGTGTAGTTTGCTCCCTGAGTCTGACACAGATAACTTTGAAGAGCAACTTCTAAAAGACACCTTTCTGGAAATATTCATTAATCCAAAACGGCACAAATCAGGTTTTACCGGGGCTTCCTTGGTTGCTCAGTGGTAAAGAACCTACCTGCCAATGAAGGAGACTCGGGTCTGGGAAGATCCCTTGGAGAAGGAAATGGCAACCCTCTCCAGTATTCTTGCCTGGATAATCCCATGGACATAGGAGTCTGGTGGGTTACAGTTCATGGGGTCGCAAAGAGCTGGACATGACTTAGTAAATAAACAACAACAACAACTGGTTTTATGACTGTTTTACTTAAATATTTAACAATGAAAAACAAAGAATCGTCCTCCCTTTGGAGTATCTGGTCATATCAAAGGTTAATTAGCTGACATTTTTTGAATGCTTACTGGGTACCAGGTGATCTAATAGTTTTCACAGACTTTAACTCACTAGAATTTTATGAAGTAATTTACAACTATTAGCCCTATTTTACACATGAGTGAACAGAAGCTTAGAGAGAATGAGTGACACAGTCACTATCTGTACTTTTGCCGAAGGGGAATGATTACAATGATAGATAATAATTTCACCAAGACCCAGAATATTACTAGTCATATACTCTACTTATTTAGTAACTTTCTTCCTAGAGAGATAAGCTGCAAAATCTTATGATAGCTATGAAAAATAGTAAGATTTTAAAGTAGATTTTCTTTGACATTTACAATTCTAGAGTGATAATTATTTAGACTATTATTTTTATATGAAACTTAATCCAGTGAGATGAATACAGTTTATGTGCTGGTACTGATCTCCCACTTTTGACCAACATAGTGAAAGTGAAAGTGAAGTCGCTCAGTCGTGTCCGACTCTTTGCGACCCCGTGGACTGTAGCCCACCAGGCTCCTCCGTCCATGGGATTCTCCAGGCAAGAATACTGGAGTGGGTTGCCATTTCCTTCTCCAGGGGATCTTCCCGACCCAAGTATCAAACCCAGGTCTCCTGCACTGCAGGCAGACGCTTTAACTTCTGAGCCACCAGGGAAGCCCTGACCAACATAAGGCAGCATCAAAACTAACGACTCCTAAGATGCTGGCAGTATGCCTTATCATCACTCTTGACAAGTTGCTTCTGGAATCTGGTCGGGTGGATACATACAGTGCAATACTGGCAATGTCTTTAATTCCTGCGTCCATTTATATACATTCTCCCAGTTGGCAGGGGAAAGAATGACCATGAATGGTAAGGATTAGTGAGACCCCTATATACAGTTCTGACAGTCTATATTACACCAGGCTGCAACTCAACAATACTTCCTCCCTCTGCAGAGCTTACACAAGATGCAGTCACCACATAATTGCCCCCTCTCCACCCCATCTTCATCCACCCATGCCTATGGATATTTACAAAAGCAAAAGAATCTCATAATGTTCCAAGGGTGTTCAGGTCTTGAATGTGGTGCAGGTTTAATAAGTGTTTTCCCTCTTAATTCCCCTTGAAAGTTTGGACTTTGGAAGACACAGAGAGACCTGGAAAATGACTGCCTGGTCCCAGATAATGTTAAAAAGGGTTACTGGTCTTTAGTACATGGCTTATGATACAGGAAAGAAATGAGGTAGAAGCATATCTCACAAAGGTTTTGAGGAAGAGATTCAAACTAAAATTTTGACTGTGTGAAGAAATAATGCAAGGAAATGCTAAAACCAGAGACTGTGGAGAGAACAGATCAGGCCAGAAAGACCCATCAAGGAACAATGCACATGTACTGCTGTCCCAAATTCCGGGTCGCACAGAGCCTTGGGTGATGGGACACATTACTAGGGCAAGGCAGTTGAGTGGTATAGTTATCCCCCACTCCAAAAAAAATCTACACAAGAAAAGACTATGTGCTATGAAAAATGAAACTAGGTGTATAAAGATGTAAACAAGATGAAGCCCATTAGGGTGATTAAGTATGGGGAAAAGGAGCAATACATTTGTCAGAATATCTTACAAATGTTTTTGCCAGAAAGAAAATATCCCATCTCTGGGCAAAATTCATTAAATCTGTATTGATTAATTGCCATAATCAAAGAATAAGGCTAGACAAGGTGGAGGGGGCAAAGATAAAACTGAGTGAGTGTTAGTCACTCAGTCACGTCCAACTCTTCGCAAAGACATAGGCTGTAGCCCACCAAGCTCCACTGTCCATGGGTTCTCCAGGCAAGAATACTGGAGTGGGCTGCCATTCCCTTCTCCAGGAGATCTTCCTGACCCAGGGATTAAACCTGGCTTGCCTGCATTGCAGGCGGATTCTTTACCGTCTTAGTCACCAGGGAAAGCTGAGTGAGACAATTGCCACTAAATATGGAGGGCTTGAAATGTGCCAGACCTCATTCTAGGTATTTGTAAGCATCAGCTCCTTGAGTCCTCACAATGAGGCATGACGGCTTACAGCTCACATCACAGATGAAGAAATTGAGGGGCCAGGGATTAAGTAATTAGCTCAAAGTCACACAGCCTTGGATTCCCTGCATTTGAGCCCTGCATTGTAATGGGATCTTTATTCTTAGTTCTCAATTTGGGAGAAACAAATACAAAATGATAACTGTTCTCTAACAGAAATATCTTTAAAGTTGCACACATGCAGGATGAACTATAGTTATGCTGGGATTGACAGTAAACTAAAAAGCGATTCAAGGAAGTTGTAACATCTAGGTTTACACATACACAAAACCCCTGTCTTGTTTTTCTGAAAATGTGTGTTTTGGAGACAGGGAAATTAAGAAAACATTTTTTGTTTTTGGCTAAAATGGCTTCAAATAATGAATATCTGGTTTTAGATAAAAAAGCAGTAAAAGTCTAATTTGATAATATTTTATCAAAATATAACATTATGTTACATTTTATGATTTTTTAAGTTTGTGAAAACCCAATGAAAATGCTAAAGGAAGCAAAAGAGGGAATTATTTAGTTATATTTATAGTGACACAAATAGATACACTTCAGCTTAATATGTAGGCAAGCTGCATAAAAGAGCTGGATGAAAGAGATTAAAATATAAAACTTTTAAGCTCTGTCTTTGCTTCTGCTTTGTCCATGAAGTAGAATAATCTTTAAACTAAAAACTGGACCAAGGATCATCAAAAAGAATGAAAGCCTTCACTTTAAATAAGTCTCTAGATCTTGATTAATGGTATTCAATAACAATGATTTTAAAGAAATGTTACGTTACGTTTTTTAAAAAGTTCATTTGTTTAGAAGTAATACTAAATTTACAAGCCTCAGAACATACAAAGTATAAGGCTGAGCAAAGTTTAGGGCTCAGGAACTATGAATTACACCAAACAAATAATCTTTTTTCATAGGCTAATTTGATTGCTAAAAAAATAGTGTCAAAGAAAATTTTATAATTCCAACCAAACCTTGAAAAAATTAAGACAGGATTAGGTTGGCAATATCTGTGAGAAATGTGGAATTGGTAACCATATAATTATATCTGTGCGCATACACTTTAGAGATATTTGTGGGAAGTGGACTCCGTGATCACACAACTAGATAAACACCCACAGTTGTTAAGTGTGGACGACAGGCAGTGCCCACAATCAACCCCACCTGAAGGCTGGAGAAGATAAATCAACGCCTTTCTGAAGGGCAGTAGTGCAGAAGCTCCGCCCATGGCCTTTCCCCCCAGAATTTTCCTTGAGACTTGAGAACAGGTATTGCAAACTCTGTGGCAACTTTCTGGATAACTCTGAAACTAATGGTATTTGAAAAGAAATTTACAAGGATGGAGGAGGATCCTCTTGATCTGAGGACTGATTCAGCAGCCCCAAACCCTGACGTGGACTCAGCATCTGATAAGCTTGTTTAGAAAAGCTCACAAGACTATTCTGCTTTTATAGCTCTTCACAAGTTGGGTCATAAACCCAAGACTTGTCGGCTAAATCAGGTCCCCAAATACACTTTCCTTAGTCAGTACCTGCTTTAGAAAGTTTAAAATTGAATAATTTTAGGTGGGAAAAGAGTCACTCCAGTTTCTCTCTTCCTTTAATTACCTCCTTTTACATTATACTAATCAACTCTAATATCATCCTACCTTTGAGGCATTTTGACCTTAATATGTTTTAGAACAGGACCCTGTGGGCCACTCCCCTTCTCCACGTCCTCATTTTGTCTTTTGTCTGTAGAAAAACTATTCAAAGAATAAATTTAATAGGAGAAGTGAGAAAATGCAGAAAGGAAAACAGTCAAGTAAAACAAAATAATAATTGTTTAGTCATCAAACAAAGTTAAGGACCTTTAGAGTTCCTCCTCAAGGGCTATAGATATCCTTTGAGCCTGAGCCATATCCTTTGAGCTGTTTTCCAGACACCAGGTAAAAGAACTTAACTATATGCTCCCCACAAGCACATAGACTCTAGACCAGTTGGAACCAGAAGGTTGATGATGTTAACTTCTGATGACCTTACCATCAACCAATTAGAAGAAAGGTCATGAGCTGAAACCATTTCCCTTATCCCTTCTTTAAAAACCTTTTCCTGAAGGCCTTTAGGCGTTCAAGTCTTTAAACGCTAACTACCTGGACTCCTTGTTTGGCACCTATAATAAACATTGTATTTCCTTTACAAGCTGGGTCAACAGACTGACTTTACTGCTTGGGAGGGCAAGCAACCCAAGTTTGGTTCAGTAACAGAACTGCCATGTGAAGGGTTTTTTCTTAACTAAATTCCCAGTTCTCAGAGTAGCAACAAAGCCAACCCCTGGGCAGAGTGGACTGGGGTTCCTCCTGAAACAGGAGTGGAGGGCGTTTCTAGCACAAGGGTCTCTAGATGCATGTGGAATATGAGAGCAAGCAGTCCTATTCTCCAGACTGCCAGTTTTGGATGTTATCTTCTAAAAACTGTCATCTAATAATTGTCAGAGAATAAAACCATTAGGAAAAATTGATCCTAGTTTGCACTTATGTAGGCTAAGTGTCCTGATGATAGTTACAGCAAGTTAAAAATAGACCTAGGGTAGAAACAGGGACCTTCTATTCTGGAATTCAGTGCTTTTTTCCCGTTTAGTCAACTGCCAACACAATACCAGGGAAGAGCTGGGCAGCTCCGTCACATGAGTGCAGTTTATGACACGACATATTCAGATTACCCAACAGATGTGGGTTCTGTGGTGTCATCACACATAAGAAAAATCATTTCATTTATTAAGTAGATATTTATTTTGTGCCATTATTTTATTTAGCAGAAAAAAAAAACAAAAACAAATGAAGCCACCTCAAAATGAAATTAGGAGGCAGACTTTGGTTTGGTTTTGTAAAAATTAAAGTTTGTGAAACACATTTTGTAAAGACTGAAGTTGAGCCATCAAAAGAGATTGCTTCCTGATGTGTGAAAGCTATGTGCCGCTGGAGAGGGTGGTGGAGGGTATAACGGGATAATTAATAAGAATTTTAAATGTTTAACCCTAACATTACCAAGGCTCTGAAAACCAAAAATTACTAGGAATTTAATAATTCTTGTTAAATTATAGAATACTAAGAATATTTCCTTTTGTATTTTCCTTAATTCCATAGGATAAAGACATAGAAGGATGAAGAATCCATAGAAGGTTTAACATACTATTTGGGGCCACATGAATAATAGGAAGATACAATATAAATGATGAATAATAAGAAATATAATTATGAATATGCTCTTGAGATTTATGTGTTAGCATTGCTGCAAATGGAAAAAAATAAACATCAAAGATCTCTTTTCTCCAAAGTGGACCATAATTTACCTCCAAGTTTGTCTTTAAAATATTTTCCCTTGATATTTTGAAAAGGTGAAAATTTCATCCATTTTTCCCCATCCAGAAGAACATATTGTGTTTTTTCTATGAGAGAGGAAAAAGTCCCCTGATCACCCGTGATTGTCCATTCGGAGGACAAGCTGTCCAAATCCTTCATGTCTGGCATTCTGAATTCAAGGTTCTAATTTTTAAAAGTAATAAATAAAAACAGGAACTCTTCTGTAAACCTTGGTTTGGTTTCGTTTGGTTTCCCTGAAGATGACCTCTCCTTGAAAACAACAAGCCTTCCCTGATGCACTGCTTTAGGATATTCTGGGACACAAGCCCCAAACCCCCAACTCAGAAGATCAGGGAAGGCAAGGATGTCCGTACCTCGTGATACTTCTTGGTGACCTTGCTGGGAACACACTGACACTCGCTGCAGGTGTGCAAGCAGCACGCGCAGTTCCCGCCACAGCGCTTCACCAGGAGGCAGCCCGGCCAGAAGATGGTGTCGGTCCTTTTCAGCTCCTCCCGGACGGACACGGAGAAGTTGCGGGGTGTGCAGCTATAGAGCCGCACCTCCTCCTTGAGCAGGTTCAGGTCCACCACTGCGGGGCACAAGTGAGCCAAGAGGAGGTGAGATCCGAGCCGGAGGCACTTCACTAAGCTCTAAATCTAACTATTTCATGAACCATCACCTTAAGAATAACCCTAATTATTTAACCAGGTCTTAGGGTGATGCAGCTTGTGGGCTGGACTTTCTGTTTGATGGTTGAAGAGGTGGCATTGTGCAGAGTTGAGGATGGAGCCAAAAGAAACAGTTAAGAGCCAAACATAGGACACTTTACAGGAAAAATGGGGCTACATCTTCCAACCTTTGGAAAAAAATCAAACACGGGACACGTTGGAGGGAAGAATAGAATGTAAAATGAATGCTTTGATGAAAAAATAAATCCAAGTTTTAGAAGGATGACAAACTCACGCAATGAATGAAGAATGAAGTTCAGAAGCTTGCTGGCAGAACTTTACAAGAATCATAGAATGTGAAGAGGAATGAAGAAAATGAGTTCTTGAAGACAGCTGAGTGGACCAGGAGTGAAAAAGAAGACACCTTTTAAAAAGAGCAGGAGTTGTTGGAAAGCATTGCTTCTGGTGTGTTGATTAGTTTATGGACTTGAAAATTTAGTTTAACTAGACTCCTTTAGATTTCTGCTGCTGCTGCTGCTAAGTCTCTTCAGTCGTGTCCGACTCTGTGCGACCCCATAGACGGCAGCCCACCAGGCTCCGCCATCCCTGGGATTCTCCAGGAAAGAACACTGGAGTGGGTTGCCATTTCCTTCTCCAGTGCATGAAAGTGAAAAGTGAAATCGCTCAGTCGTGTCCGACTCTTAGCGACCCCATGGATTGCAGCCCACCAGGCTCCTCCGTCCGTGGAATTTTCCAGGCAAGATTTCTAGTCTCCTTTTAATGGATGGAAGTAATGTCTAATTTATAACCATTGTCTCTATTGTTTTAGTAACTTGGTTAACTATGTCATGCTTTATTCTTTAGAATATCTACTTATGAGGAGCAAAAAAAAATCCTTTTATTAATTGTTGCAGTAAATTCTCAAAGAACCACTGCTTCTAACTACAAGATGACTTTGCCTCAGTTAAATTATATCAAAATAATATGTCAAGTTTAGTATAAACTTATATATATAATATGAAGTAGTTGATAATTACTAGGATAAGCATTTCTAAAATGATCTTAATTTCTGCTTTAGGGCTTTGCCTTTTCCCCTAGAAATATTCAAATAAAAACAATTCCAATAAAATTGAAGGTTTGAATAATATATAATTCATCAGAGCTTTTATTCTGTCAAAAATAGTTTTATTAAAATTTAGGAACATTATCTAAAATATAAGAGATATGTTAAATATATTTTCATTAATATTGACAACATTATAAATAATATTTTCTGGCCAAAGTTAACTTCAATAATAATAATACAGTTTTAAAAATTAATTGACTAATATTTGAAAATATTTTAAAAATGACAAGGTAGTAAGAATCAAATGCTTGTTTTCTTTAGTTATGTTATACTTGTGTATGTGGTCAAGTTTTTCTAAAATGTCAAAAGAAGTCAAGGTAAGTATTTTTAAGAAACACATACAAGATTTTGTATATGCAATTGTAAATTATAAACACATTAAACTATACAATTGACTAAAATTCGTCAAGAACAGGGAAACACCAAGGAAATGCTAATTTAATAGGTTCATTTCAGCCTCATTCAGCTAAAATTATTTTTTCCAATTCAACAGAAAAATTACTGTTTTATTTGATTATCTAAAGATTTCCCTTTCATCTGAAAAATGATCCTGTGTAAGTAAAACTTTTAAATATTTAAGAGGAAATAAATTATTTTTTTAAGTGCCATTAAAGACCAACTTAGTTCTAATAAAATTAATGAGATAATTAGGTTAAGTGATGTCACCTGTTTTATCTGATTTCATTTTGCTGAACTAACAGTCTATGTACATACTGCTCTTTAACTGTCAAAGCTGCATAGGAGCGTCTTTGAATCTTTTCTCTAGAAGTTAATATCTAGGCAAGCAGCGAGAAAACCTAAAACAGACACACACATACAAAAGCCAGTTGCCAAAGTTTTTAATGCTTATTTAAGATTTATACTTCTTTAGAATGTGAATGAAGCTCTTAGCTTTCAAAGGATATTCATCTACCTCAAAGAGTTTTAAACATACTATTTCATGCAACTAGAAAATGAGACTGTATATGTTCCCTTTAAAATGTTTACTTAACCACAATAAAAGGTTAGATGGATTTCCCAAGTGAACCAAGTTATGATACCTGCTACAATGTGAAAATTTAAACAGACTTTCAACTTAGCTTCCACTCATCTATCATGTTTGACACAAAAGTCAAAAGCCCTTTTTAAGTACTAGTTAAGCCTGACTTAAAAAAAATGAGTTCTTCTTTTCTGTAGTAGGAAGATATGAATGAATACACTGAATTGGAGGAAGAAAGGGAAAATAAAGAAACGGAAAGACATGAATGCAGTCTACTTTGGGCTAAAGAAGGACTTTAAATTTAGCATATGTTATTTGAAATTTATGCTTCCTACTGTTAGGACTTCAAACTCATCCAAGCTTCATTAAAATACATCATGTGACTATAACTGGTGTCACAAATTCATAAAATATTGTGTAGAACACCTAGGCAAAAAAAAAAGGAAGAAAAACAGAGAGAGAGAAAGATCATGCATCAACACATACTTTTGTATAACTTTACTATTATGAAGTTTCCCTTTACAAAATATTTGTAAAGTAAACAGCCTTCAGATGCTTTATTTTCTTTTTGTGACTACTAAGACGATGCAAGCATTAGCCTGTCTTTCTAAAGAATGAAGATGTGAAGCTTGTCATCAATGAACACTGTTTTTCTAATACCTATTTTCTTGTTCAGATTCATAAATATTGCAAGTTTTATAACACTGGTTAAAAAAAAGAAAAAAAAAAAAACCATGATCACATTTTACTTTTTTAGTGTTCATTCTTTTGAGACATTCAGCCCAAGGAAATTCTATGACTGTATTGCAATCTGAGGGTGGTCTTTCTAAGATGAATGTGGTAACACTGTGATATGTTTATTCTATGGAAAATCTCTTTCAATGTCTAATTAGAAGCTTTTAAATGTTTTACTCCTCGTTCCTTTGTAGAGACTCTGGGGAGGGGAGTTGGTTTTGTCTACATAGATGTTATCCCACACCTGCATTTTAGTTTATGTAAAGTTCCAAAAATATACACTGCTTTTCTCACACTTACCGTATGCTTAAAAAGTTAATAGATTTGGCAAACTGCAAAGGGCTTCAATTTGGAAAGTGTTAAATGAATATTTGAAAGATCTGGTTCAGTGCTGGGTCTTTTAAGTACTCCCTAGCCTCTGGCCAAATCATCACTGAGCACCACAGGGAGAGATACAGACACATGGGCATGGCTGGAGGGGAGATTTGCAGGCTCCCATCCCAAGAACAGCTGTCAAAACTCGATCTGAGCTCAGAACCCAGCTGACTCCCTCTGCTTCTTATAGATCCACTCGATAATCTACTCCAAATTTGCTAACAAAGGCTGTATTCAGGGGCATTGCAGCCAGCCTCCCAAGTCTCCATCTTCCCGTTCCTGAGGAGGGAAGGGAAGTGCTGTTGGTGAGTTATTCATCAAGATCACATCTTATAAATATGCAACAGCTTTCAGGATCTGGACAAGATTCGGCTGCCTCTGGACAAGATTTCCAATATTGCTGAGAGGAAACTGGAGCTGCTGGCCCAGCAGAATACCATGCTGGGCAAGTCTCAACAGGATCTGCTGAGATGGAAGGTCCTGATCAGAAGAGCTGCAGCTCTGAGCAGGAAAGGGTGGGAATAGGGTTTCTTTCTGAAGAACATGTCTGATGCAATCAGTCCCTGTGAGTTGCTCAAATTAACTAAATATTCTGCTTTCTATAGACATTCTACAGACTGTTCTTCCATTCTGTAAAAGACCCTAGGTAGATTTTAAAGTATCTGACAGACTGAAACAGATTTTCTGAGGGTGTTATAATAAGGCATTTGCATTTTCATTTGTGTCTGAGAGTGATGCTTTCCAATGTTAGTGTTACTAGGAAAGTTAGCGGACCTTAGAGCAAATCCCATCACCATTATTTCCAATTTCTTGACCATGTGGAATTAAGTTTAATTATCAACACTTTCACTCTTGGAAGGAGATATGCTCATATAATCAAAAGTGATCATTTCAAACATATTTATACAGAGAAAGAATCATCATAGTGTGAGTTCCTTTAGAGCATTATTTTCTCACAGTGATTCCTATCTTGGAAACTAGTAGGTCTGTTTTCTGGGGAGCCATGGGTATTTTTCATAATATTTAGAAAAGCTTCTAGGCTTAGGAAATGGATATAACTCTGATTCAGGGGACATGCTAGACAAAGATTTTAATAGAGCTTTCCCCTTTTCTAGCCCCAAACCTGGCCCTGAAGCTATGATAATCTCTACTGAATCTCTAATTTAATATACACCAAATATTAAGTTTGAATAAGCAACAATTCCTGTGAAATGTAACAGAGGACTTCATCAACATGATATTTTTGAATTAAATAACAGGCATTTTCAGCAAAAGCATCTCTTTAAATCTCCCATACCCAGTCAGAAGAGCCTCCTTTTATGTGCATTCTTATTTAATATGTAAATATGCTCAAATATTAAGAAAATGGAGCCTTTAACTTTATCAAAGAAGAATTTTAAACTCTACTCATTAGAAGGTATGGCAGAAGAATCCGAAACATGAGCTGCTAAGAAAATTAGATGGGGTTCTAAACTGAAGAGACAGCTTACCTCTGGATTTTCTTCCAAACACGAAATTCTTGCCCAGCAGTTGCAAAGAAGTGGGCCTGTAGAGATCTTCTAAGTCTAACTGCCATCTGTCCGGTTCAAGATACCGAATGAGGTCTTCCAAGGTACTAAAGGCAGTGACGGCGTTATTCAGGAGGTCCAGTGGCAAGGCTGAGGCGGGCAGCGAGGAAGGACTCACGGTTTCTGTGAGCTGCTGAAAGCAAAATGAAGCCAACGTCAGGTGGACTCTGTTTTAAAAATGGCAACGTGGTGCTTTTGGACTCAGGCACGGGGTTAGGTAGTGAGACCATGGCTGAAAACACAGGGAAGTGAAATTTTATTCAACCTCCATGACCAGGAATAATTGATACTTTGCAAAGACGTCATGTAGTTGAACTTGGATGGAGTTTCTGTGGAAGATTTTCAATGGGGAAGACATACACTTTTGTTAACACAAACCGTGGTCGGTGTGGGTACCTGCTGTTACACAAAACAGATGATGCCTCTGTGGTCCAGTTATGGACTTAACAATGGAAACCTTAAAAGAGTTTATCAATTTTTTCCTTTGTTTTCCACTTTTCATCTTCCTCATTCTGGGAAATCACCTGGTGGGTTTATTAGTGATTGTCAGAGGAATTAAAGCTTTAATATAAAGTAATTGATCCATGAAGAGTATGAATAAATTGTAAGTGAAACATCTTTGACATTGGAGAAGAACTTATTAATCAAGATAGGAAACATCCAAACCATAAAAGAGAACTTTGAGAAATTTGCCTAAAATTTTTAAACAAGCAGAGTTAAAATACAGACACTGGGAGAATACCTTGGCAAACCACATACCTGCCACAGGATAGAGTATAGAGAAATAAAACAAACTCAATAGAAAATGGGCAAATTCCAGACAAGAAGCTTCAATGGCCACTAGACATATGAAATCATGCTATACTATAATTCATTAGTTACTAGAGAAATGCACAACAAAAGTAAAATGTTTCATATACACAAAAGAGATACTATTTCACTTATAGGAGATTGGTGAGCATTTAAAAGAAAGGATTGCCAAGGATGTGGGTGGATTGAAATTTCTCTGCTCTGCCTGCAAAAGTGAGTATTAATTGGTATCACTGTAGTTGATGCAACTGATGTGTACAGGATACTAGAGTTGAAGATGGATACATCCCATGTCCCTATAATTCACTTTCAAGGTTATAGTCTTTTATTTGTGCACATGAAGTATGTGTGCAGGAATATCAGTTCATCAGTGTTGAAAAGGAGAAAATCAAAACAACCTAAAGTGTTCCATGTTTAATGGATTAAACAATGGATTAAAATACACCATTTTAAACAACAAGCATCAGAAGAAGGCAATAATTCCAGGAAAAGATCAAAAGTAATATCCCCTTCCCCAGTTTTTAAAGTGGACTAAGGGTGAGGTGTGGTAGACCAGAACTGAAATCAAAATAGACAAAATAAATACAGAAACAAATGCTCCACCTAATCTTTAAATTTTATTTATTTACTTACAGAGGAAGGAAATGGAATAGTATGAAATAAAGCATTTACATTGACTGATTTTATTTACATTGTCTGAGTTTATTACAGTAAAATTCATAATAACAAAAAGTTGGTAATGATCTAGACTTATGATAATGGAATAGTTAATAACCTTGCACTCATAATCTGAATTAGTGGGATAGGCACTAAAACTGAGGTTCTCTAGAAAGATGTGGAGGCAATCTAAGTGTCCATTGACAGATGAATGGATAAAGAAGATGTGGTACACATATAAAGTGGAATATTACTCAGCCATGAAAAGAACAAAACATTGTTCTCTGCAGCAACATGGAAGAACCTAGAGGCTGTCATTCTCAGCAAAATAAGTCAGACAGAGAAAGACAAGTGCCATGTGATATCATTCACACATGGGATCTAAAAACTGATACAAATGAACTTATTTACAAAACAGAAATAGACTTACAGACATAGAAAACAAACTTATGGTTACCAAAGAGGATGAAGGATAAATTAGGAGTTTACGATTAACAGATACACATTATTATATATAAACTAGATAAACAATAAGGACCTACTACTATATAGCACAGGGAACTATACTCAATATCCTGCAATAAACCATAACAGAAAAGTCTATCTATTGATATATACATATATGGGTATGTATACATATACATATATATATATAATTCACTTTACTATGTATTAGAAACTGACATAACATTGTAAATCAAGCATTCTGCAATAAAAGTGCAGTCCTCTAGAATTTTTTATTAAGAAATAAATGTTTAAAACATAGTAAATGACAAGTAATCCAAGCTCTTTAAACTTAGCATTATTTTACCATGATTTCAACCCACATACTTTGAAACAAAACAAAAAACCAAAAGTGCCTAAAATTTCAAGAGCATTCACCTACAGTTTTAATGAGAACAGGTGATTTTCACTTTCTTCCTTATAACTGTGTATTTTAAGCATTTTCTATAATAAGTATGGGTTTTTTCCGGAGATCAGGTAAAAATGATAACATTTGCTGTAATTAAAAAAAAACACTATCATATCAGCTTTTCCTTTTCATCTTCATTACTCAGGTCTTGGGCAGAAGCTGAAAACATGGACTATATTTAGGAGCCTGTAAATCTGTCTCCTTGTCTTCAATCTTCCCTTATTCCTTTTATCCTATGCTGCATAACCCTGGGTTAATCTACCTAAAATAAGCTATCGCCGATCACGGGATGAATCTGGACACATGCCTAGAGTGATTTCTCTTCTGAAGGATAACATCCAAATTCCTTACAATGTATTCAGGAGCCTCACCACCTGACCCTTGCTCACCTTTCCCATCTAATCCTCCACTCATCAAAGACAAGCACATTTTGTCCCAACCAATCTAGTCTCCTTACTGAATGCTGAGCATGTCATATTCCTGACCTTGACCTGTACCCTTGCTAAAGCTGCTGCCCTGCCCCCATGAGCACAACTCTGTCTTGTGATCTGCACAATAAATCTTGACCATTTATAACAGCCTTCCTTGAAACCCAACTCATCCACGAAAACTTCTCTAGTAACAGAGCCGTTGCTGCCCTAAATACTGCAATTGTGTTAATCTGGAAAAGATCCCCTCTCTGGACTAACCTGTGGGCACAGCAGTTGAAAAGCAGAAGCTACACTGTCACTCAGAAAAAAGGACATTTGCTCTCTGGGGCGAAACAGCCTCTCTTGGGACTCGTAGCTTCGTGGGTCCAGAGCCCCTCTTGCCTGTGGTGGTGTTGGTAGTGGGTTTATAAAGGCTGATCAGTAGAAATGAATGTGGCAGTTTCGGTCAATACTGATTTCACTCTTATTTTAAAGATCTACTTTCAGAATGTAAAAATTCTGGCTAAACTATTAGCACTAAGATGTTTTCCATTATTATAACCAACTTTTAAGAGTAAAAACCAAATTTAATATATTCCTCTTTACTACCAGAAGTTTTTAATCGTCTAAGAAATGAAAATTGCTTTGACAGAGTATTGTTGTGTTTTATATGTAAATAAGCAATTATCTAATAAAAGTGTTCATTACTAGGTTAACCAATTTGGTTAATATTGATGTAGTTCATAATGTGAAAATCTGATGCCATGTTTTTGAAAAATTTCAAACTATCAGCCAAAATGTGTATTACTCAAAGAATAACTGAGTTATGACTCATAACTATGATGAAACAAATCAATTGTGTCAATCTACACACAGAGAATAAATGTATAGAAAGCTGATACAAAATGTATCAATGTATTATTCATTAAAGTGTCAGGTTATGGATGTATATTTTAGGCAGGATATAGAATAATTTATGCTCTGGAGTTGATACATTTTGCTTCCAACTCTGTTGGAAATGTAGTGAATTCTTTCAAGAACAATGAAAAGTTCCAACTAAAATCAGTACTGCTGAGATAAAGTTTAAAGTAGCTATACAGAAAAAGAAAAACAAAATAGTTCTGTAATGTTGGACAAACAGAATATGCACATCCTGAGTTCAATGAGGTATCTGAATATCAATCACCTCAAGTGACCAAGGGACCCAAACCACCTGACAAAACTGCATGCAGATACTGGTGCTAAGTGTTCACACTTTTAAAGATAGAAATTAAAATAATACTTAAAAAAGATAACCACACACACACATGCATACATGTAGGCACACAGGGAAGTCCCCATCTAAAGAAAAAAAAAAAAGGGTGGGGGGAGAATTAACTTACTTCCCCTTGGATTCAAAGATTCAATCCCCGGACAGAAGAGAGGAAGTGGTGCTTTTCTTTTTTAAGGGCTTTCTCATGACTGTCACCCACCCACTGGTTCAAGGAACATTCAGATTGTTCACTTTTGAGGTTCTGCTTTTCTAAGTAGTCCAAAGGGATTTTCAGGGAAAAGGAGGAGCAGCAGAAAAAAAGAAGTTAGAGAGAAAGATATCTTCTACCGTTTTTAATCTTTCATTTCTCCTTGAGCCAAAAACTCCACTTTCCAGTACAAACTCAGAGCCTTTCTCCAATTTTAAGTTTCTAGCAAATTCTAACAATACCTCTGCTGTATAAAAATACCTAGAGGAGTGGGGTGGGGAGGTAGGTGTAAGGGAGGCTTAAGAGAGATGGGACGTATGTATACCCACGGCTGAATCATGCTGATGTACGGCAGAAGCCATCACAATATTGTAAAGTAACTATCTTCCAATTAAAAATAAAACTAAAAAAAAGACTTATGATCGAGCAGAGTGGCTTGAATAGTTCCTTTAGTCACTATGGAAACAGACACCTACTTCTAGGCTGTGGATCCTACTGAGACTACCCAGTGGATGACAATGGCCAGAAACGGCAAGCAGAGTTTCCTGGTTTCTGTAATGTACTAGCTAAATCAATATCCCTACTTTAATAAGCCAGAAAAGGGCTTTTCCATTATTAACTGCAGAATCGCAGCAATAAGGTGGTGGAAAACCTAATCCTATTATTCTCGTTCAGTCGCTAAGTCGTGTCCCACTCTTTGGGACTTCATGGGCTATAGCATGCCAGGCTCCTCTGTCCTCCACTATCTCCTGGAGTTTGCTCAAATTCACGTTCATTGAGGCGGTGATGCTGTCTAACCATCTCATCCTCTGCTGCCTCCTTCTCCATTTGCCTTCAATCTTTCCCAGTGAAGAACTTAATCCTAGCCTAGACCTTTCTGGGC